GATAATTCGGACGAAATCCCTTCCTGAACGGATGATCCTCTCACGGGAAGGGATTTCCTCCGGCGCACGATTCGAATCAGCGGAACGGCGCGTGAGTGTATACATGGGCCGGATAGTTCGGATCGAGGACGGGTCCCGGCTTAATTCGAATCACAGCTGCCCATGTAAACAGGGTAAATGAGTCGTTAGCCGCAGCCGGCTACCCCGCAGCTGGTGACCCCGCAGCCGGTTATCGCGCCCCCGCGCGGAACGGGCGTGGCTCGGCTTGGACGCGCGGCCGCCTCTCCAATCTTCACGCGACATTCCGGAGGCGCCGCTATGCAAATGTGTCGGGAGACGGCATAGCTAACGTCTGTCGGACGGGGAGATTGGGGAGGGGGAGGAGCAACACGCCAGGGCTGCTGTTCGCACAAAGGGCGGGCCGGCCCGCTCCTGCGGAGCAGCGGCGTCTTTGATGCCGGGGCGGCGGCGGCGGCGGAGGCCCTCTCCTGGCGCATTGTGCTGCGCAGGAGGAGCGCCACTGCGGACCAGCGGCGGCGTCTCGATTCACTCTGCGCTCCTCGGAAGGGCGCGGAAGCTGGCGAGAATGCGGAGGCGAAGGGTGTTTACCTCCCACTCAAAGGCTGGAGATGAGTTGGCTGACTTGGCGGAGGTGGTGGGTCGCTCGATGGGGTCACGGCTTGACCCCTGGACCTCATCCCTGTCGCCCGGCGCCTGTGCTGCGCGTTGGGTGGGCGTTGACCCGAGTATACAAATAGTTCTCCGCTGTTGGTGTTGCAAGCGCTTAGAGGAGCGATGTGTCCGGGTCATCCCCTGCGCGCTCCGTCCTCCGCCGACCCACCGAGGCTCGTCCGCCTGCAAGCAGTCGTGTAGCAGCGGGCGTTGGGTGCGCCCAGCGTTGCGCTCTCCGGGCGTGGAAGGTGCGGACCGCGGCTATCACGCGGCCGGGAGCCGACCCCGATTAGTGGTTTCGAGGCAGCGTTTGACGTGCATCCTTGAATGGGCGTCGATTGGTGACGAGCTCGTGTTGGCTTTGCGGATAGTGTCTCGCGACGATAAGAAGATCGGTGCCACCGCGTGGGCCGTGCTACCAGTCTGGCCGCGCAAAGTCCTCAAGAGGCTGCAGAGCTGAAGTGTTTGTGCAGGGGTGTGACTTGTTCCCACCGTTATTTGTGCTGATAGGAACTTTGGTGGACATTCGTGTTGCTGATGCAGATACCTGCATTCTGACTTGGTCATACTGGGAAAACATTACCTTCCACGTGCCCGTTGCTTTCTTCGAAACACGTGGGAGGCGAACGTGTGGCCCCACTTCTGGAGTTCCTGAGCAGGTTACCAGCACCTGGGTTCCCTTTGAGTCACCGCATCCCTCGTTGTCAGATGCCACACGGAGTTGGCGGCCGTCACCGCGTCTCTGAGAACCTTCTCGATGGTAATAATGTCCTCAAACGAAATCCAAGGGGGCAGTAGTTGGTGCAGCCCTTATCTGGGTCGCTGCAATAAAGATTAGAGGCCGCCGTTGTGTAAATATTTTGAGAGAGTCCTAAGAGCCTATGAGGCTCAAAGCAGACAAACCTCGCATCCGTTCAATGTTTTGCATGGTGGCGATGGAAGCTCTCTCGCTGGCCGCCGACTGGCATCACTCCGAGCGGACCGTCGCCTGGACAGCGGCGCCGCGCACGCCCATCCGCTCGCCCTTCGGCGAGGAGTCGGGCGGTGGGACGAAACGGAGCGGAACCGCCGCGGACCTGTCCGCCTCTCCCCCTTCAGCCGTCGCCGGCGGGATGAGGTGCTCGCTGTGACAGCCGGGCGCGGCGCGCATTAGCGCCTGTCACAACCGGCACGCCGCCGCCCGGCCGTCCGACGCCCCGTGTCCGTTTCACCTGGGCGCGGCCCCCCGCGCCGCGCCGCGCCGGCGGCGCCGACACTCGGTCTGCATTCGCGTCACGCGCCGCGCAAAAACCTCTGCGCTGGCTGGTCGACGAGAGCCGTCTCGCCGCCCGTCTCGCTTCGGGCGCCGGCCTGCCCCGGACGGTTGTCAGGTTAAGGGCAGCAAAAAGGCGGAGGAGGTTGTCGAGTCGGCCCGCGACGGCGGGACGTCGCGTTGCCGGATGCGACGCCGGGCGCGTGCCCGGAGGGGCGACGTTTCGGGCCGGCAGCGCGGTCCTTCGCTGAAGCGGCGTTCGCTTTCAGGGAAGCGATTGGCAACGCGACCAGCCCCGAAAAGTGACATGAAAAGAATTCCAATATGTGAATCATCCTTTCATAAAAAGCATGGCAAAAAGTCGCGGCTATGGTCGTGTGGCGACGTATGACGGCCCGGTAACTGTAGACATGCAGCACTTGTTGGGCTGCGAGCTGCTGACGCGGTGAGCGGGGCGGCTCGGTCGGAGCAAGGCTGCCCACTCGCGACTGTATCGGTTTTCCGCACTATCCCGTGGCGTCGCCAGCCCTCTATGGCGCTCCGCATACGGGGGCAGCGTGCGGCCACCAGCAGCCATGCGTCTGCGACGGCCAACTGCCACGTCAGGAGCGTTTTACGGCGTCGGGTTTGGCATCGGTCTGGCATCGGTTTGGCATCGGCCTGCAGCGCTCCACAGCGCTGCTAATTGGGCGGTCGCAAGGCGGATGCGACGGTGCTTCGAAGTACACAGCCGTGGGCAGCGCGCCGCTGCGTGCCCCACCGCGGGCGCTCCGTGCGCCGCGCCCATCCGTGCCCGCCAGCAGCGGTCGGTGGCGGTCAGCGGGTAGCGGCGGCAGCCAGTAGCGGTCAGGGGCTCCGATACCGGCCGCCGAGCAGCGGCTGTCATCGATACGCCACCAGCTGCTCGACGATAGCGCGCCGGGCCGATACGGGTCGGCGGCGTCCGCCGGCCGGGGTGTCAAGTGGTCGTATCGGACGACTGGGCGGCCGGCCCGGCAGCCGGCGACCCCGCCGGCTGCTCGCCGCTTGCTCGTCACGCGCCGCGGCGCCGCCGCCGTGTGGGTAATGCATGCAGAGGACGTGGCCGGCTGCATCGCGCCCGCTGCTTACGCATATCATTATCAGGCGTTATGCAGATAACTGAGCTCTTGCGTCACGCGGGCCATTGTCGGTGTCGGTGAAGGGCAGGGGCGAGCGCCCCACAGGCGTGAAAGTCGCATTGTGTGGTGGACGTGATGCGATTTGTGTCGGCCTCGCCGGCACGCCATCAGGTCAGATGACGCCGCGACCGCACCGCTCCACGGTGCCCGTCCAGCTCACCAGATGCGCGGGACAGCCGGCGCAGAGCTGTGTTCGGAGAGCTGCAGATGGCGAGCTCGCCTCCTCTCCTCCAGCGCCGGGACAGCCGGCGGCGGTCGGACCTGACCTCCACACGGGCCACGCGACCCCTCGTTAGCCCGCCGTTCCGCCAGCCGTCGCGGTGCCGTCTCGCCGGCCTGCTCCGGCCGCCGCGGCAGGCCACTGCAGGTCGGCCAATCGGCCGATCGGTGAGCGGTGGTGGCAACGACCGACGGACCTGCCGACCGGCCGACCGGCCGCCGCTCTCGGCGGCGCCGGCCGTGCATCCGGCTGGCCGACGGTGGATCCTGGGAGCTCGGTGGACGGTGGGAGCTGTCGGGCGATCGGGGACCACTTGGTGGATTCGGGGAGTTCTCTGTAGAGACGGATAGCGCACAAAGGAGCTGGGTGGCTCACAAAGCAGCTGGGTAGCCCTCGTGAGAGCTTGGTGGCCGTCGAAGGAGGAGCAGGGCGGCTCTCAGGGGAGCTGGGTAGCTCTCGTAAGAGCTTGGTGGCCGTCGAAGGAGGAGCAGGGTGGCTCTCAGGGGAGCTGGGTGTCTCTCAAGAGCTGAGTAGCTCTCAGAGGAGCTGGGCGACTCTCGGGAGTGGCGAGTCATCTGAGTGGGCCCTGAGAGCTTATGGAGAATTTGGAGATCGCTCAGTCTTTCCTCGCTTTGCTCTGGATCGTAGTCGGCTTTCAGTGCAGCGACGCCTGCTGTTTCGGAGTCGCCGTCGTTTCTGAGGGCTGGCGTCACGGTGCGTGTTTTTTTTTGGGGGGGGGGTGGGGGTGGGATGGGCTGAGGTCCCGGCGTGTCCAGCATGGAACGAGCGTGTTGTTGGACGAACAAGGTGGTAGACACTGGAGGAAATGCATCCCTGCCGACCAGCACGTTCTGCTGGTATGGGCGATAACCTCGCACGACTCGGCGAGGTTCATGGAGTCCCCTCCAGTAGCGGAGCATGTGCTGCAGCCCATGCATGGCCTCCGTTTCTGCATCGGAGCCTCCTGCGAGTTACCTGACGTGGGCGTGTCTTCCGACCGCCTGGTGGTCTCAGGTGAACGAAGCCGAGCTGCGGAATGGGCCGCGCAGACGAAACAGAAAGCCCTGCCCGGCCGCGGGAGCCCAGCACGTGGGCTCGTGCCCACAAGCCGGCCCCTGCTCGGTGCCTTGTCTCTAGCGTGGGTGGGGGTGGTAGCGTCTGAAAATGCGCCTGAATCGCGCGAACGTTGTCGGCTTACATCGGATTCGTTAGGGCGGTGGAGCTTTGGTCGCTCCATATGCGTAATATCCGTAATGCACGCGCGTATTGTGTACATATTGACACTGAGTCCGGCAAACGGAGGCTACAGTCTCCGTCATTGGTCAGGCGCATGACTGAGGCCGGCCGCAACCGTCACTGAATGGCGACCCATGTCCTATCGGTGGCGTAGGTTTATCTCATTTGGAAGACAACGTATGCAGCTTCTGACACGTCATCACGTCTCCGTGTGCGATCCGCATCCTGCCGTCAGCCGAGCGCCGCGTAACGTGGCGTGTGGCGCTGACTCGGCCGTGACCCATGCCTCGTGTCGCGACTGACCCCGACCCTCTGCCGCGACTGACCCCGACCCTCTGCCGCGACTGACCGCGACCCTCTGCCGCGACTGACCGCGACCCTCTGTCGCGTCTGACCGCGACCCTCTGCCGGGACTGACCGCGACCCTCTGCCACGACTGATCCTGACCCTCTGCCGCCAGGTGACGTGCTGAGCGGCGTCTGCTACGTGGGAGTGCTGAACGTACCAGCGCTGCGCGGTTTCGTGCTGGCGCCGCTGGTCGTCTACCTGGCGCTGGGCACCGTATTCCTGCTGGCCGGCATTCGTCTCGCTCTTCAAGATCCGCACCATCATGAAGCACGACGGCACGCGCACCGACAAGCTGGAGAAGCTGATGATCCGCATCGGCGTCTTCTCGGTGCTGTACACGCTGCCGGCCACGCTGGTGATCGCCTGCCTGTTTTACGAGCAGGCGTTCCTCGATCAGTGGACCCTCGGCTGGCAGGAGCAACACTGTGGCCTGCGGAACCCCAACTGGTCCAAATATGCCATCCCCTGCCCGCCGGCCGCCGCCGACGGCCTGCTGCGGCCGCAACCGTACTTCGAGTTCTTCATGATCAAGTACGTGATGCTGCTGATCGTCGGGATCACGTCCGGCTTCTGGGTGTGGTCGCACAAGACGCTGCAGACGTGGGGCCGACTGTGCGGATACGGCCAGCCCGCGGTCGTCTACCGGACCCCCGACGGCCGCGTCGTGCAGCCGAACCACGTGTGAGCCAGCGGGCTGCGCGCACGCGCGGGACATGCATGGGACGTGCGCGGTGGGTGTGAGAGACACTGCTGGACGTGCGCCGGACGTGCGCTTGACGTGGTCTGGATGCGCGGCGTTCTTGCTGGCGCGGGGCCGGCTTCGGAGGCGCGGCGGACGCTTCTTTCGGTCGCCACGCGCCCGCCTCTCTGTGTGATAGACTCGGCGCCGCTGACGCGCCAGAAACGCCACGCGACGCTTCAGGGAAGACGGGCGTCGTCTCCGCCGCGGTTCTGAACCTCGCCGAGCGGAGTCAGCGCGCCCCGAACCCGCAGCCCTGCACTGCTGACCGAGGGGACGACGGGTGTTCCGCTACCCCTCCCGGGCTCGCGCCGCGGCCGCGTCGACTCGCCAGTTGACCGTCGCATTACCGGCTCGTGGGCGCCGAACGCGTGCGCTTGTCCCGGCGCGCGCGTGGATGACACCGCCGGACTAGTGGCGGACCTCCGACCCTGCCGCGGACCGACAGCAAGCTGGGTGCGAGGAGCTGGCCGTCCAGTCGCCGAGCGCTCCCGAGGCTCGGTTCGAGCGAGAAGGTCGACGGTCAGCGGCTGGAGCGTGACCGCGAGTTGACGGCCGTCGCGGTTCCGCCGGATCTGCTTCTCACCGACACCCCTTCTCGCCCGCTCACCGGCGGAGAGGGAGGCGGCGCGGCCAACCGGTCAGGTGAGTTCCAGGCTCGGCCAGTGCACGGCGGTTGTCGAAATCGAGCTGGTCAAGCTCTATCTTGAAGTTTTCCGTTCGGCTGTCGTGTTCTTTTTATCACCCCGTCGTATGGCGATGCGCAACACGGGCCGTGCAGCCTTGTCTGTCTACCCCCCTTGTCTCGCGTCTGCCAGTGACACCCAACGGTATTTTCTCCCGCCGCGTCGCGAAGTGTTCCGTCGGATCCGGGTCACATGCCCTTGTCGCCTGTGACCAAGGGCTTAAATCTGTCCCGCACGGCCGGTCAGTACAATTCCAATTCTTATCGCCGTCCATAATCTGCCGGCCGGGTGCGTACCGCGGCCATCTGTCCGCCGAAGACCGGCTGCGGCGGCCGGCCTGTGCGCGGCGCCGCGCTTGCGTGTTTTTTCCGAGCCTGCGTGCTTTAAAGCGACGGTCCCCGTGGGAGAACGACGCGTCGCTAAAGCGGCGGCGCTGCCGGGTGTAGCGAGCACCGGCGTGCGCGACAGGGTAACGACGAGGCACGGTGGACGATGCATGTCGCCGTCAGGGCGACCACCTGTGTCCACCGATGCGAGGAGACGTTGACATTCCGCATTGGGATTAATTAAGTTGGCTTGGCCTCGGACACGTCACGCCCGGCGTGAAATCCTGCTCGACCGGCGCTTTTTGTCATTTCTTGCGCTTTTTTTGACTGTGAACTTCTTGCTGTGGGGTGCATCATCGGCGTTGTTTCCGTGACGGTCTGGCGCCGAGAGAACGTTGCGAACGGGGTCCGTAACGGTTGGTGTCCGCAAGCGCGGAAGGCCAGACGGCCTGATTCACGGATCATTAGCTGCACATAACCCCGAATCAGGCGCCGACCCACCCCCTGGCGGCGTGGGACGGTGGTCGGCGGTGGCCCGCTGGCTGATGTTCGGGTGTCTGTTCACACTCGCGCGCGCTTTCGAAGCGGCGGCTCTGGACATCGGCCGGCCGATCGGGCGTCTCCGTGGACATCGGCCGGCCGATCGGGCGTCTCCGTGCCGTTCGCTCGCGACGGTTTACAAGCCAATCAGTGGGTGGAAAAACCCGACGGAGGCAAAAACGGGGCCCGGGGTTGTTTAGGTTGTTGGCCCGTTGGCCTGATATGAACTAGTGCGCCGGGTGCCTTGGCTGCATGTAACTCAGCGGTTAATTGGCTGTGCTGCTCATTATCAGCGCATCTGATGGCGTGGCCGGACATTGGCGGACCGTCGGCCCAACCCTCTCCGTTCAGCTGTCAGGCTCCCCGAAGACGGCTCGACCCAGCCAATTACAGAAATAAATGTCCACGACCGGGCCGGCCAGGAATCTATCCTGACTAGCTGGGATATCGGGTGGGATAGGGCCGCCGCGTGCCGGCCGCCGCGCGCCCCACCGACCGGTTCTCCTTGAACGACTCGCCCAGCACCTTATCGAGCGGGTCCGGCGGT